TCCAAATCCACTAACCTTGCCAATTCCAGACATACTAAATCGTGCCACTACCAGATACACTAACCTTGCCAATTCCGAATACACCAACCTTGTCACTTCCAAATCCACTAACCTTGCCAATTCCAGACATACTAAATCTTGCCACTACCAGATACACTAACCTTGCCAATTCCGAATACACCAACCTTGCCACTTCCAGATTCACTAAATCTTGCCAAAACCAGATATACTGAAGCCTTGCCAATTCCAGATTTACTAAATCTTACCAATTCCAGATATACAAAACCTTGCCAAATCCAGACACACTAACCTTGCCACTTCCAAATACACTAAGCCTTGCCAATTCCAGATATACTAAATCTGGCCACTACCTGATTTACTAATCTTGCCACTACCAAACACACCAAACCTTGCCAATTCCAGACAGACTAATCTTGCCAATTCCACATTCACGAAGCCTTACTACTTCCAGATATACAAACCCTTGCCACTTCCAAATACACCAATCTTGTCACTCCCAAATCCACTAACCTTGCCAATTCCAGACATACTAAATCTTGCCACTTCCAACACACCAGCCTTCACCTCCAAACACACCACCCTCCACCTCCAACACCTCTTTTCCAAAACAAGACCGGAGATCCCAGGCGGCCGGCATACAGCGCGGCGCCGTGCCATCTCAACTCGCGCCTCGGCACCAGCGCTACCCCACGACTCGCGTAGAAAATGCCGGCGTTCTCCGTCTCCGACAGGATCTCCGTGCTGGGGTGCTTGGGCACGGTCCGGTATGTAGGCGTTCTTCCGGCGTGGGGCCCCGGGGTCGTGGCCTATGGCGTCGAATGGGACGACAAGGCCCGGGGTAAGCATAGTGGCGAGCTCGCCGGCGTCCGGTACTTCTGCACCCGTGTCCCCAACGCCGGGTCTTTCATCAAGGCGTCCAACAAAAACATCGACGCGCCGTGCCTGTTCCTTGACGCGGTGCGCCGCCGCTACTCCAGCGAGGCCAACTCCATGGCGCTTGTGGAGACGGTCAAGATAGGCTCCAAGACCGTGGAGAAGTACGGGTTCGGGCGGCTCAGTGAGGTGCAGGCCGACGTGGCCGCATTGGGCGTGGTGATGGTGGACCATCAACAGATCCGGGCAGTTGGAGGCAAATCCAGCCCGGAGCCGGCTCCAGGGAGTCCTCTGTTCAGCGCCCACACGTTGGACTTGGGCTCCAACTTGCTCGTGGACTGGGCAGAAGTGGCGCAGATCGTGCGGCATTTTCCCCGCTTGCAAGCCGTGAATTTGAACGGGAACCGGCTCCGGCGTTTGCCGGCTCCAATGCCGGGGCCCGCGTCGTGGACTGTGTTCCCCGCGTCCGTCCGCGAGGTGGCGCTTTCGGCGACATACGTGCTGGCCGGGGCACTCCTGTGCTTGGACCTCTCGCACGTGACCCGCCTCGAGTTGGCGGCCAACGGCATCGACGACCAATGGCTCGCCGAATGGCGGCCGCCGCCCCGCTTGCAGGCCGTCGACTTGTCCTTCAACAGCTTGCGCCTGGTCCCGCCGGCACTCCATTTGCAGACGCTCGCGCACGTGGTGTTGGCGGACAACTGCATCTCGGACGTGGCCGCGTTGCCCGTGTTCCCCCACACGCGGACGCTCGATCTCCGGCGGAACCCGATCTCCTCCTACGAGGACGTGGACGCGCTCGCCGGCAAGTTCCCGGCTCTCCGCGAGCTCCGCATCAACGGCTGCCCGGTTTTCGACGGGCTCTCGCCGGAAGAGGAGGCCTTCGCTTTGATCGGCCGGTTGGAGTGCCAGGCCTGGGCCCGCCAGCCACACCGCGCGGTGTGCAAGCTCAACGGCAGCCCGTTGCAGGCGCTGGAGATCCGCAACGGCGAGCTCCACTTCATGGCCGAGGTCCGGGCCGGCCGGCTCGCGTGCTCCAACACCCGGCGCTGGCAGGCGCTCCTCACGAAATACCACGTCTCCGCGGAGCCGGGCCGGCCGGGCCGGCCGGGCGGCTTCTCCGTCGATCGGCGGGTCCGGCTCTCGGTGCGCTTGGCGGCGAGCCCCGACACGGAGCTCTTCTCGCGCGTGTTTGCGCAGAACAGCCCGGTGCTCCGGCTCAAAGGCCTCGTGGCCCGGCACGTGCGCCGCTACGTTCTCGACGTGTCGCTCTTCTACTACGTCCACGACGACGCCGCGCTGGGGCCGCGCGAGCCCATGGCCGACGACGCCGCCAGCCTCCAGAGCCACGGGTTCTCGGACAATCACCGCATATATGTACTATAAACCGACGCGGGGACCCGGGCACGCCGCGCCCATCACGAGCTCTCGTCGAGGTACCACAAGCCGTCGCCCAAATAGTGCAACAACTCGATGCCGATGCCCTTGTTGATGGACTTGATGTCGTCCGTGCTCATCAACAAGCGGCCCACGGCCAAGGCCGTGTCCTTGCCTTCGGCGTAGATGGTCACGATGGCGTCTTTTTCGAGGTTTCCGGCGGGCAACTGCGCGCCGGCAGACGTCAAGCCGGGGCACATGACGTTGGCGCCGGACAACACGAACTTGATGGCGCCGCGGTCCACCTTCACTTTGGGGAAGCAGTCCGGGTACTTGTGCACGATTTTCAACGTGGGCACCAAGTCGCCGAAGGTCTGGAACACCACCACCTCGCCGTCCACCGAGTACAACAGGATCTTCTCCTCGCACTTGATCAAAATGGCCTGGGACTTCTTGGGGATGATGGAGTCGATGACCGGCTCCAAGTCCTCGTACTGCGCCGTGAAACTCGACTTCAAGCCTCGCTGCGCGGACAGCTTGATGTTGGAGCGCGAGTGGATCTCCGCCTTGCCGAACTTCTTGAACATGTCGGGGCAAATGTGTGTTTTGAGGGCTGTTGCAGAGGAGGGCTGTTGCAGAGGAGATGGGCTGGACTTGCTAGTATCGCTGCGCTGATGCCGGCCGGGGACCGGGCCTGTCTGCAGGCCCTCGTCTACGGACAGAGGAACGGGTAGAAAAGGCAGGAATGTCAGAGGAGAGAAGGCAGGAATGTTAGAGTAGAGAAGGCAGGAATGTCAGGGTAGAAAAGGCAGGAATGTCAGGTAGAAAAGGCAGGAATGTTAGAGTATAGAAGGCGGGATTGTCAGGGTCGATAATTACAGCGCCACCATCGGGAGAACCTTGGTGTGGCCGCACTCAAAAGTGACCCTGCTGTGAGGTTGTTCTGGCCCGTTGCCGGAGACGCAAACCCAGGCCGAGGCTTGCTTTGCATCCCGGCATCCAGCTCAAGATGTGGTGGGGGACACCGACACCGAGCGAGGCACCAGGCGGACTACGGACTTCAAGACCGAAGTGGGGGGGGGGGGGGGGGC